AAAGTAATGCATCTATATAGAATAGACTTAAACCTCTTTTCTGAGTCACTTTCCAAAATTGTCCAGAAACCGTAGATATTGAGGAAACAGATCCACAGTTCAACTTGCAGGCTGCATCAGCTAATCTCAGGAGACTCTCACTGGGCATAACAATCCCTCTGCTCGTCATTGCAGCAGCACAAGTATCCTTGTCTCTGGACTCCAGTGTGACTTCCTCCAACAGCTCTGACCAAAGACAGAAACAACTGTTACTAAATAAAGAGGTTTGACCAAAGTAAAATGGGACAAAATTGACTCTAGTAATGGCTGAAGGTTTAATTTACCTGTTAATATGTCTTCAACCCAGACACCTGTGGAAAAAGTTTCCAGGTATTTTATTTTGTAATATATTATTTAGGATCAGCCAGACACTCTGTTGTTAGATGTGTGTCTGCTGGTGGTTTGAAATGACTCACTGTCTCTGTTACTCAACGTAATTAAGTAAATACATAATTAATCATCAGTATTTGGCGCTATGTACCCATTTTCTGATTTATTTTAGATAATTAACTATCTGATAAAAAAAATAAAACACTTAAATTTCTATAGAGTGGAGCCTGTTTTCATAACCAGTGTTATGATTCGAGGATCTCCTCAATCCCACTGACACGCCTTCCAGGGAGGGAGCTGAGGCTGAGGATTCAGCAGCTGATCCTCCCATCTCCTGCGCTGAGGTCACCGAGGCAGTCAAAAAGCTGCTTGGTGGAAAGGCACCGGGGGTGGATGAGATCCGCCCTGAGTACCTCAAGTCGCTGGATGTTGTGGGGCTGTCTTGGCTTACACGTCTCTGCAGCATCGTGTGGCAGTCCTGGACAGTACCTCTGAACTGGCAGACCATGGTGGGGGTGCCTCTTTTCCAAAAGGGGGTCCGAGTGTGTGTGCCAACTATCAGGGATCACACTCCTCAGCCTCACGGGAAAAGTCTATTCCAAGGTACTGGAGAGAAAAATCTGGCCGATAGTCGAACTTCGGATTCAAGAGGAACAATGCGGTTTTCGCCCTGGTCGTGGAGGGTTCATGTGTCCCTCGTGATATTTTGTGTGGGGTGCTGGGGTCGGGGTCAAGTGTGAAGTCGCTGGGATGAGAATCAGCACCTCTAAGTCCGAGACCATGGTTCTCGACCCGAAAAAGGTGATTTGCAAGGTTGAGGAGGAAGTCCTGCCTCAGGTGGAGGAGTTTAAATATCTTGGGGTCTTGTTCACGAGTGACGGTAGGATGGAACAAAATGAGTTTTCTCCATAAGGTGGCAGGGCGCTCCCTTAGAGCTCTGTCACCTAGGAGGTGCTCGAAGTAGAGCCGCTGCTCCTCCACAAGGAGAGGAGTCAGCTGAGGTGGCTTGGGCATTTACATCACATGCCCCCCGAATGCCTTCCTCGGGAGGTGCTCAGGTCCTGTCCCTCTGGGAGGAGACCTACGGAAAGACCCAGGACACTCTGGAGCGACTACGTCACTCGGCTGGCCTGGGAACCCTTGGGGTCCCCCCGGAAGAGCTGAAAGAGGTGTCTGGGGAGAGGGAAGTCTAGGTGTTCCTGCTCAAACAGTTGCCCCTGTGACCCTACCCTAGATAAGCGGACGATGATGGATGGATGGATGGAAGAAGTCCTTTATTTGTCGCACAGCATTAAATTGACAGCAGAAGAGCACAGTACAGTGACATGACTTCAGTAAATAAAGACAACTGATAGAATGGTATTCTAGATTAAAACAAACAATGATTAAAACTCACCAGCAGTGGGGTTCACACATCCGCTGGGAATGCTGGCCATCAGGGCCACCAGAGGTTTTTAAGGTCCCAGCAGAAACAAATGTGTGAGTGACGGTACGCTCTCTGGAGATGAGTGTACCAGAGCTGTCTCCAAAGTCCCAACTGAAGCTGATGTCTGCATTGCTCAGGTACTGACTGGGATCATGAAGGTTGACACTGAAAGCGATGGCTCTGTTTTGGATGAATTTCTGGTCGTCCTGGTTGATATCATTGACTTGGCTGAGTGATATGGTGAAAGAAACCTGGTCTGATGACAGAGGAAGACATGGTCAGGTGTTTTGAAAGAAATGGTCAAATTGGGGAGGGTTAAACTTTTTCAAACAATATACCTGTAAGCAACGACTGAGGAGGCGTAGCCAAGAGGAATTAACTTGTTTTTGCCATGGCAGTGGTAGATGACAACCTTCATATTGTAGGAGCACAAAGGGGTGTTGTCTGTGCCAATGGTGAGGGAGGAAGACGGACCACCTGCCACTAACGCACTAGAAAAAAAGTGCAACAATTCCGTAACTTATAAAATGTGGAATTAATAAATGGTTTATGTTTAACAAATGATACTGTATCAAACATAAGGACGTTTGCTGAATGGCAGTTGAAACAATAATAAATCAAAAATCTATAAGCATGGCAGGCCCAGAGGAGATGATAATTCATATAGTCTAAGGTGATATTTCCAAACAATGCTAGGTGTATGAGTTAAACCTGGGGTGCCCAATAAGTAGATCAGGATTTACCAGTAGATCTCAAATAGAGTGCTGGTAGATCCTGAGCAATGCTCTGACTAGACTGTTGTGTGTGTGCAGCTTTTCACCAGAGGGTGGAGTAACAGTGCAGGGACTGCCGTGATAGTCCACAGACTATCCACAGAAAGCCATTAAACCTTGAGTTTTATGACAGGGAGAACGAGCAGCTGTGATTATGTTGGAGCACACTGGTTATGGATGAATTTGTTTGTATGCTTGTAGAATCTTTTTAAAATATTTTAGGTAGTTTAATATGCGTTAAAAAGAACATTTGAACCCTTTAAAGCAAGGGTTCAGTGGGATCTGTGGTTTTAACAAACATTTTGAAGATAATCCAAAAAAGTTAGGACAATCCAGACTGAAACGTTCATACAATAATTCCAATAAGATTCTCCAAAAAGCTGATTTTATTTTATTTTAAATAGAGAACTTTATTGATCCCACACTGGGGAGATTGTTGTGTTGACACCAGATGTACAACAGGAGGCGCCAAGTGTATGTCTCCTCTGGGGATTAAACCAGGTGTGACAACTACTACACTATGCTGGTGAGGGTATAAAAGGAGAATCAACCGAAGACGAGCGACAACAAATCCATCTATATCAGACTTGTTTCTGAACTAATAATAACAAAACAAAAAAATAATAATCCATGTTTGTAATATTAACAGTCCCGTTTGGGCTTTGGTATTGGATCAGATTGCGTATAGTATTATATTCCTGACATTTTGACCAATATCAGACCGACCCCATCTTAAGTTTTAAGTACCAGCACTGGTTAAAGTTACTAATGACCACTTGTTGCTGCGGATAAATTACTAACCAATCAGACTGCTGGGTACACTCCCTTCTGTCACTCTATAAACACACACACAAATGCATTAACACTGTTATAATAAACTCTTTTCACTTCACAACCTCCTGTAACTAAAGTGAATTACCTTCATTGAAAACATATAATTTATATTTACTCATATAAACTGAATCATACCTTATATTTACATTACATGTCGGTGAACTGAATAAATGCATGTGGCTGTATGGAACAATATTATTTCATTCTTACAGTACACGGTCACTGGTACACACGCATGCTCTACCAGCACTCCCTCTGTGATCGACTGGTTGTTTTCAATCCACTTATTGGGCAGCCCTGTTCTAAAATAACCAATGCATTAAAAACCTAAACATGTATGGGAAAGGTTCATTTTTTCTTATTTTTTTTTTTTTTTTTTTTTTAATTTTAGGTTTAACTTTGTTTCTCTCTTTTGTTTGTTTTTACCATGTATCCTTTTCATTGACTGTTAAGCTCTTGTGTGACGTGTGGTGTTGTGTTCCCTGTGGTCATGTTTGGTCAGTGGAGCTGATTCAGCATCTCATTTTAAAGAAGGTGTATCTGCAAAGACCGTATCAAAGATCAGCTTTTTTATTGACCGCACTCTCCCGACTGCCAGCCAGCCAGCAGCAGCAGCAGTAGCAGCAGCATTAGTTTCCCCTCTCCTCACCGGTTCATTCAGGCTAAAACTATCCACACACCCTGGTCTTCTCACTGTTCTCCCCCCTTTTGGTAGTAAACAGCCAGTGGCCAAAATAGTAGCAACTCTTTTGGTAATAGTGGCAGCAGCAGCAGCAGCAGCAGCAGCAGTGACAGTGTGTGACTATGCATATCTGTTTGGCAGAGAACATAGAGGGGACAGTGAGTCAGGAGTGAGGACAGAGACATTATGTAAAGATTAAAGCATGTAATGCTATGTAAGGTTAAAACAGAAAAGACTTGAACAGAGTTGCATGTAAATAGGGGGACAAAAATGAAAAACTATGGGATGGAAGTTATTATTTACATCTGATACTGAAGCTGCTCTGATTCTGTTCTTTACACATATTAACATACAGCTTTAAACCTAATCACATTTGTTCAAATATATTAGAAAGGCAGATTAGCTGTCAAATCTTAAACTCTGTTCAAAATATAAAACATAAATAAATATAAAAATGCAAGGTTATATGTATGCATTTTACAATAAATAACCAAACACTACTTCTAAATAAACATTTATAAAATAAAAGGTTTAAGGTAGACCTTTTTTAAGTTAAGGTAAAAAAAAAATAAAATAAAATGGAATTTTAAAATTGCAGGATGAAATAATTGCATACTGAGGAGTACAAATTAAAATAATAAAAAAAATCCTAACAAAAAAACAGATCATAATAGAGAGGGCGCTACATTTGTCAAATATAAAACCAAAGATTTTGACACAAAAATAAAAACAGGTGCCTGTGTGTTGGGGGTGTGGTGTTGTACTTCGCTCTCGTCTTCATCCTCACTGACTCTGGGAGGACACTGTGATTTCATCATGTTGCTCTCTGATTGGTCCAGACTTGGGCCCCACAGACCGAGCCCACAGTCACAGCCCATATAAGTGAGAAGGCGCTGCTGAAGCTGCAGGATATTATTCATAATTACTACACTGTTGGCTTTATTTTGTTTATTTGTTGATATTCTGCATCAAGAGTCTGGTAAGTTCAAATTAAACTTTTTTCCCCACATTTGTTGTAATTGTTACAATTGTTGGAGCAGTTTAAACCATTTGAAGTTTAAATCTGAAAGATTCTTAAATAAACTAACGATGATGTAGATGTTAATGTTAACGTTAACAAGTAGTGTCGACAAAATTAACGGCAATTTCACGTAGTACATATTGTAATGTTTAACATGTGTCAGTCTTTGGTAGGAAAATGTTTTTTATAAACCTTTTATCCTCAAATTCTTGGATTTTTGGGTACAGAGGACATGGACTCACCTTCTCTGTGTTTTTGTATGTGGACATAGTGGAGATGAAGAACCACCAGAACCTTCACACGGCCACACCAATCAGGCAGAGCCTGGCTTTGACCAAATTAGCTGGAACCTCTGTTTACCTCAAACTGGACTCATCTCAGCCCACCGGTTCCTTCAAGATCAGGGGCATCGGACACCTCTGTAAAACTGTGAGACTTTTTTACACGTTTTCATTATATTTCTAATATAATGTTGGGGACACATTAAAGGGATTCCAGAGTCTAGCTCAGGCATGGGCAAACTTTTTGACCCGTGGGCCACAATGAGTTCTAAAATTTGACAAGGGGGGCTGGGTCAGCCACTTAGATGGAGCATATTTTGAATTAAAATATGACACCTAAAAGCTAAAATGTTAAAATGCTAAAATGCTTTAAGCCTTTCCTACGCAATCTTTTGGACAAATGTGGCGCATTGCAGGGAAAAGGCAGAAGTATAATTATAATAGAAATTAATAACATTTGGACTTGTTGATGGGCCAGATTAAAAAGCCAAACAGACCACATCCAGCCCCCGGGCTGTAGTTTGCCCATGTCTGGTCTAGCTCTACAGAGACAACAACACCAGTGATATACTGTATGTACAGTATATCACTGTACCTACACTTTAAACTTTTACCTTTTAGCTGCTTTTAATTCATTTGTAGCAGCATCTTTCCATTATTGGTTCCTTGTTATTTTTTATTTGTCCGTATTTGTTTGACATTGTTTCGGTTCTTTTTATTTACCTTTTAACTCAATGATCTCTTATCATTATTTCTTTAACTTTAACCTTTAAATGTCCCAATTTTTTTATCAAATAGCATTGACAGTGTAAGAATGTAATAGAATCAAACAGAAAATGCTCTGTTGTCATTGTACAAATAAAATGACATTATTATAAAACAGTAAAAGTGCAAAAGTGTAAGAAAAGCTAACAGGAGCTTACAGGAACTGGAAATGTTTACAATATAAGACAGGCAGCTATCATTTTACCAAATGCTACATCTTTGCTAACTTATTAGCAATTTAGCTGAGAGTGGTGTTTAAGTGATAATTTGATCATTTAGGTGCAGTTTTTGGTATTTTAATATAAATACTAAATAATTTTACACAGTGTGTAACTTGTTTTTGTTTTTTGTTGTTGTTGTCCGGTAGTGGGCCGAACGAGGATGTGAGAGATTTGTCTGCTGCTCAGGTGAGAAACAACGCCTCACAAGTAAATATTCTTTAACTACCAACTCTTGTGGTTTATAAATGCATAATTCTAGACATATTTATCCCAATAGGTGGAAATGCTGGGATGGCGGCAGCTTATTCCGCTCGTCAGCTTGGCGTTCCTGCCACCATCATTGTTCCCAGTGTCACACCAAATCTGACAGTGGAGAAGCTGAAGGATGAGGGCGCCACTGTCATCATTCATGGCAAGGTTGGATGTTTTCAGATAACTTAGTTTTAGATATTTGTGCACAAATCTTGAAATATTTATTTTATTTTTAATCGCATTTAACCATATGTTTGGTAACCACCTTACAGCCTTAGCTCAGCTTTTTGTTTTTGGCATTTTTGAGCTAATGTGCAGCCTTTTTCTAGGCAGTGATTTAACTGTAATCATATTCTATAGTTCATATCTAATATTTTATATTGGTTATATATTTGTTTTAGAAAAACCTTGGTTACCTTGGTTTCTCAAACTTTTTTCAGCCATTTTAGTGCTAAAACTCACAAAAAAAAATATTTTGAAGCATAACATATAATTTAAATGTTTAAATAAAGTTTTTAATAAGTGTGTATACATATATGCATTATATATATATATCAATTCATGAAATTATCTCATAAAAATATAGAATTAAAAATAAAAAAAAATGATATTCATACGTTTTTAATGTAACTTTTATGTGGGGGTGTTCCAGGCCCTGAATGAAAGCATGGATTATGGACAACTGATGGTGGCAAACAACCCAGGCTGGATCCTTATCTCCCCATTCGACGATCCTCTTATCTGGTACTAGACTCTTTCTCTTCTCCTTCTTCTTCTTCTTCTTTTTCACTGTATCATTGTTTGTATAACCTATTTAACAATAAGTCTATGTTTTTAACCCATTGTTTTCATGCAAATAAGTACAATTTTATTTATATATATTCATGTATTTATTATTTATTCATATATAATTTTACCAAAAATCATTTGTGTTTGTGTATCGTTTGTGTATTTTTTTTATTTCTAATTTCCTCTGTCTGCACGAGTGGAAAACTGTCATGAATCTGACAGGAGTGTGCTCATCCTCACAGGGAAGGTCACACGTCGCTGGTGAGGGAACTGGAGAAGGATTTGAGGGAGAAGCCAGGGGCCATCGTTCTGTCTGTAGGAGGTGGCGGTCTGCTGAACGGAGTGGTGGAGGGCTTACGTCGAGCTCAGTGGGATGATGTTCCCATCATTGCCATGGAAACTATGGGAGCACACAGTCTGAATGCAGCCATGAGTGCTGGAAAGCTGGTAACTCTGCCCGCCATTACCAGGTACTGACCTGACTCCCCCGAGTCCCCACCTCTCCCCCTTCTTCTGTGGCCAAACCTGACATTTGATTTTTCTCTTCAGTGTTGCGACCACACTCGGACTGACTCGTGTCTCTGCTCAGACCATGAAGCTGGTGAATGAACACACAGTTGTCTCTGAAGTCGTCTCAGACCAAGAAGCTGTGAAAGCTGTTGAACGATTTGTAGGTGAGAAAAGAAAAACAAACAGCTGAAGCGACCGACACCCACAGAAACAGCACTGCACAAAAACTGTAGTTCTGGATACTTTAACACAGTACTCCTCAAATAGTGGGGTGGGCCCTACGGGGCAAGGGGATGGAGGGGAGAGACGGTGTTGAGCGTTAGAGGCTTCCGATGGAATATTGTACGCTAGACATAGGTGTACCACCACTGTAATGCTTGAACAATACACAAGACTCTAGTCACTAGGTGGCAGCAACTCATATAGTGGTTTGTACAGATAAGAAAATATATATTATCAGGTTTTCAAAAGTATAATAATTCAGGGGGTGGGGAGGTGAAAACATTTCCCGTCCCCTAGGGGCAGTGTGACAGAAAATAATTGAGAACCACTGCTTTAACATCAAAGGTAGATCAGCAGAGCCCGGAAACAAAACACACGCCAGACTCATGCTAACTTAGCTTCACGAGTTAGCATGAAAGACTAAAGATTGAACGACTAAAATCCACACCCCTTCTCCTTCTACATCAAACCATGATCCCAGTCATTGGATGGTTGCAATGACTAAGTATGGAGTTTGTTGCTGTCAAAAATGAGTAACGTCCTTTTTTGCTTTGATTTTGCCCAGATGATGAGAGGATCCTGGTGGAACCAGCCTGCGGCGCCGCCCTGGCAGCTGTGTACAGCGGAATTATCAAACGTCTGCAGAGTGAGGGGAAGCTAGCACAGCATCTGGGCCCCATTGTGGTGGTGGTGTGTGGGGGCAACAACATCAGTATTGCTCAACTGTGGAGGCTGAAAAAGCAGCTGGGAATCATCTAATATTGATGACACACCATCACACACACACACACACACACTTCAGCTTCCGTCTTTTACTCGTCAATCAGCTGAATTCTATCATTCATGTGCTCCACTCATCCAATCATTCCAGACTGTAAAACCCTCTTGTGCACTGAGTGTAATAAACACCAGGTGGGGCAGTTGGAGGGCTGTTGGTGTTTCTAATATGGTTGCTTTTGTAACATTAATTAGACTAAAAAGATCTGCTAATGATTCTAGGTGATAATTACTTTGGCATGTTACTTTCTGCATGTTAGCTTTATCAGTATGTACTGTATGTGTTTTCTCCAGGTTTTGTACATTCTAATAATTTTTTTGTGTAAAAATAAATTATATTTCTAGCAAATGTGTCTTGAGAATCTTTCTTTAGAGTTATTTTGTTTATATCTTTAATAACTCTTGATGTTTTAAAACAGTCTATAAACCAGGTGTATCAAACATAAGGCCCGCAGGCCAAAACTGGCCTGCTTGATGAATTTTGGAACTAAAAGAAAAAGTATACACACACTCTATGCTGATGATGCTGACGTTCAAAAAGGGCTAAAATGTTTTATACTCAAATACCTTTTTTTTGTCAAATGCAGCTGACTAAATAACAATTTGTTGCTTATATTTCTAAATTCCGTTCCATTCATAATACAATTAATATCTGCCAGTCAGCTCTCATGGTATGGTTATTGATGTAGAGCATCCCAGCTAGGTCTATGCTGACAGATATATTTTGATAATCCTGGGAATGTAATAAAGAAACCATAAAACAGGACAGTTGTTGCTTCATCAACTTGGATTATTTTATGTTCGTATTAACTTTAACTTTCTCACTCCAACACATGAATTATCTCTGCTATTTTTCTACACTGGTTTTAAACACATTTGTATAACATTCACATAAATGTCTACTTTCACATATTTTAATGTACAAATAAACATTAATAAACATTTTGTCACCAATTTCTCAACAATCAGGGTTCCACTTCTTCCTTGAACACACATCTTCCTTATTCTCTCTTTAAAAGAGTAGTATATTTTAAGTACTCACTTATTATTGCATTCACCTTGCAGGTAAGTTAATTCAAGTTTACACACTATAAACACAAACAAAAATATAAGCAGACTTGCCGTTATAACCCATAACCAAGACTGCGAATGTACTTATCCGTAACATCTGCATATTAGCACTAACTTCAAAGACGCTGAACACTGTACCTTACACACAACTGATCCCCACACATTCAGCAGTAACCCACAAATGTTCAGGAAGCCGAAAGAAACAAACGAAAAGAGATAATTACCTACAGGGTTTGCTGCCATTTTCTTAACTATCATAGTTACGTACCGTGACACTTGAATATTAGTTTAGAACCAACTGTAATCACATAAAAATGTAAGGAACTAACCTGGGAATGTAATAAAGAAACCAGAAAAGCGGACAGTTGTTGCTTGTTCTTCATCAATTTATATATTTTATAGATTATAAACCCAACGTCCGCTACGCATTTCTGTGACGATGTTGTTGAGTGCTGCCCCCAGTGTCCATTTACTGCTACAGCAGGTCATCGTGCTTCCCTGAAACTTCTTACTTACACAGAATAAAATAAAATAATATAACTAATAAACTAAAACTGACCAAAATGACTCTCAGAGGGAAATAAACAACAAAAATAATACCTCGCCAAAACACTTATTTTGTGAGTATCACATCCACCCCGACAACCAAAAATGGGTCCCGACATATGTTACAAACAAAAAAACTATGTCTATGAAGATTCTAAGTCATCCAGGTCATGGTCAAGTTTAAAGGTTCTGCTTCTTCAGTTCCGAACTGACTAACAGTCAGGCAAGTTTCTGTGTATGATTCTGTTTCTCGCATTTGGGTCTCCCTCAGGGTGAATGACATATACAGGATTTCACCACATAGATTTTCTTCTCCCAGTATGAGCGTAGTTTACTTGGTCCACCTCGTTCCGAACCAGTATTCGATCTCCTGGCTTGAGGACCACACCATTTGCTTTTAGACCATAGTAGGACTTGTTCTTTGCACTTGATGAGCTGGCTTTGTTTGTGATCTTGTTTGGTTCTGTCATCCTTTTTGACCATTTTCTACATACCCTGTGTGTGTCACTGATGGAGGAGGACTTAACTTAGAGCAGCTCATACAATGCCTTCGCTATTCTCGCAAAGTCCTGTATGTTAGAGCGGTAGTAGCTCAGGAAGCCAAGGACCGGAGTTCACCAACTGCTTACAGAGGTTTGTTTTTTTAGGAGCAACCCCACGTCAACGTCTTTGGGGTCAACTTAAACTCCATGGGCCAACACCAAGGGTCCAACATGGCGAACCTTCTTCTGGAACATCTTGCACTTCTCCGCCTGTAGCTTCACCGCATGATGTTGCAGTGCTTGAAGAATTACCTCCACGTGGTCACTGAAGGATCTGGAGTAGCAAAGTAGGTCATCCAGGTACAGAATGCAGCACTCGTCTCTCAGGGAGCCTAACATCTCCTCCATGCTCCTCTGAAAGCTGAAGGTGCATTAGAAAGTCCAAATGGGATTCTTACCCATTCATAAAGCCCCCAAGGGGTGATGAAGGCAGTGAGATGGCGTGTCCCTTCTGCTATAAACCACTTGTGATAAGCTTTCCCTTAGTCAAGTATGCTGAACACTGAATATCTACGCAGCATGTCTGTCCAATCCTGTATTCGTGGCAGTGGATGTCTGTCAGGTACAGTTTACTTGTTTAAAAAATGATAATCTACACAGATGCAAGGTGCCGCCCTTCATCCTAACACATACTACTGAAGCAGAATAAGAAGGCCTGGATCTCACTATCCATCTTGTCGCTGTCTCACGTGCATTTAACAGTGTAGCCTTAACTGACCTTGCATCTGGCATAGCACTATCACTCGGTGTGTGGTGACTCTGGATGTGTGTCAGTGGTGATTTCAGGAAGAGGTTTGGTAATGACAGAACCATTAGACAAACTAACAAGGTCAACAAACCTCTCACCTGCACAGTATGTAATTCAGAATCACATTTTACAGTTTGCAGCGACATATCATCATCACAACATTTCACTACGTCTTCACTAGTGTCTTTTACATCCGTAACTGGACCATTCCCTCGTCCTCCATTTTAAGTAACTGTTCACTATATATAAACGAGTTGACGTGATCATACCATGTCTCTTGATCTCCCTCCAAAAGCTCTGACTGGGCCACATCCAATGATGAATCCACCGCTCTCGCAACCCGAAGAAGCTCTTCAGCTGACAAGGTGAGTAGGCTCTTCCTAATGTCCCACACTAGGCTCTTCCTCCCACTCGACTGCATGATGACTCTTCTCTTCTCTCACGGCTGGCAACACAGTTTGGTGATGGTGCAGTCGGCTCTGGACCACAGATCTCCACAATTGTAGTCTTCCATGGCTGGATAGGGCTGTTGATCGGTGGATGGATGATGTGTCTTCCTACTTTCACTGCTCCGTCCTCAACACTCTGCTGTACATCTCCACTCAGAACAGGTTCTGCCATGAGTGTGAGCAGACAGGACCCAAACGCAACACAAGGGAGACTCGCTTCAGGTGCAGCAGATTTATTTACAAAGGGCAAAAACAACTAAACTCACTGGGTCAAAGAACCAAGGTATAAACACCAATGACCCAACCAAGGCAAGGCAGAGAGGTGTATATACCCAGGACACCAGGTGACACCAGTGAGACTGATGACAGAGACGCAGGTGAGAGAGATGATACTGATTAACTCCACCCTCAGGAAGGAAGGAAGGCAGCCAGTCTTGTCTCTCTCATCTGCTCTTTCCTCATCTTTTCTCCATCTTTTCAGTCTGTCACTGAACTCTGAAGACAAGCTGATGCTACAGTGTTATTGCTCTGGACCAACAAAGGATGTGCACCAGTGCTGTGTGTACCAGAAAGAATGGGGACAAAGTGGGTCAAAGCACGTTCCCAACAGTACAGTGCTGAAATTCTATGGATTCTGGGAATGTCTCCCGCATGTTGATTTTCATGTTTGAAAGGAATGGCGTGCACTCACAGCTGTTACTTTGGTGGCAAAAAACCCCCCCCCCCCCCATCCCTTAATGGCCCTGGGACCAGTGAAGAGCTGAGGAGAAGAACCACATCCCAAAGTCTTCAGCCAATCCTAAGCCTTGTTGGAGGTCAGCAAAACACCATGAACCAATAAACCAGAAGCATTTGAAGGCAGTTGGAACACATGATCCGACCAACACACACATTCATGTACACACATGCAGACAGAGACACAGGAACATACTCATTCACACGTGTTAAAAAATTGAAAATCTGGAAAAATGAAAACCTTCCATTTTGTTATTACTGTCATCAGTGTCTCACCTCTACCACTCACTTATAATGAACATCAATGTGTATCTGTGTGTTTATTAAGTGCAAGGCCTCATAGCACATTGAGTTGACTCAAGGCTTGGGATTGGCTGAAGAGTTTGGGACGTGGCCGTACTGATGGCTCTCTATTGGTCAGAGGATCTTTAACAGAGGTAGAGAGCTTATGTCACATAGACCCAGAGAGGACAGTGTGTGTGTGTGTGTGTATTCCTAGAATTCCATGTGGAAGACTGTTGAGTCAGTCTTACCGTTAACTAGTAAATAACTTCTAGCAGACAGACTAATAATAATCACTGACATGATGCGTTATGCCAGAGGTTCCCAAAGTGGGGGAGGGGGGTTGTCCCCTGGATGAGGCGCAGATGGAATGAATGAATGAAACACATATTGTCCTATATTTTCCGTGCCACCCCTAGGGGACGAGCACCCTACTTTGGGACCCTCTGCTTTAGTGCAATGAGAGTATAGTTGAGACAAGGCAGGAGCTCGAACATTTTACAGATCATTATTTAACTCTGAGGTCAGTTGTGCTGCTGCTTCAGAAACTTTTAGCCTAAATTGATGTGGATGAGCCAAAATCTTCACAACAAAGCATATGTTGGTTCTCCTGAGATTCTGTTCTGCTGTGGACATCACCCAAGACACAGACTCTAGAACCAACACTTTTGTGTTATCTATCTGTCTTGTAATTGAATAGACAGGGAGGTGACATATGGTGTGTGAGGAAGTTGTAATAATTCTGACATGTGTATTACGAGATTTGGTTGCTGTTGTTGTTTACATGTTAATTAATGTGAAAACAGGTCTTTGTTTTGACGTATTTCTCCCCACGTAACTGCATTCCCTGTGTCGGGGCTTTCAGTTTTAAACCTGACGCCTGTCCGAGTCAGAGCTGCAGGGATAGAGTGACGCT